GAGCATAATGTAACACCGTCCCCAAGTATATTTACTTTTGTGTAAATTATGTATTGAACCTTATGAAATGGTTAATGAATTTACGAGGTTGTAAATTTTTGTTAATTCTTTTGCGTAAATAGTAAAGTGCACGTGGGGCCCACACGGGAGCGGGGACCACCCGATATTACCGAGACCGCATATTTTATTCATCTTGGTATAGATAATAGTTATATGGTGGTGGACATTTACTTTGGGCCATAAGAAAGGCATTGGGTTGACCGATTGGTCAAACAAGGCCCAATTACCGGTTTTGGGTAATTTATCGGATAACAGTCCGAAATGAATTTCGGGGACTTCCAAATTAAAGTTGGGGAATGTATAATCATCCTAAAGGCCCATTATGATGGGGAGTAAGTGTTATATTTTATTCGACCCAATAAAATAAAATATAATTAAAACAGTCCGAGAAATACAACTTTCGGGACCGATTGTACACTTCGGGACATAATGGGATGACCTCCCACATGAGTGGGGGCCACCCCACGTTTTTGAGAGCTCTTGGTTGACAAGGGGAGCTGCATAACATGGGTTGAGAGGTGTGTGTGGGCTGAGGGTGATGGTTGGGTGAGAGTTGACCCAAGGTGGACCTCCCCCCTCACTTATTTTCCATTTGAGACAAAAGGAGTCTCCTCACCCCTTCCCCCTATGTTTTGTGCGTCCAAGCCACCCCCAATCAAGGAGGAGAGCTCTGCAAACTTTCATCTCCATAGCCAAGAGAGATCAAGGAAGCAAGGAGCTCAAGGAAGAAGAAAAAAGGTTACAAAAGTAGAGAAAAACCTTGAGAATAAAGGTGAGAAGCTCCTTAACAACTTTTCTTCCATCTTTTGATTTCATATGACTTATATATCATATGAAATACCCTTAAGGATGTTCTACATGGTTTTAAGTGTGGAACGAGGGAGTCGGAAGTAGCTCTAAGTCCAAGAACGGACTTAGGAGCCAAAACGACCGGTTAGCCGGAAAATAACCTTTTAAAGGTTGTTTGTAATGATATGGGTTTTGTGACGATAAAACCTTGTTAGGCACTTGTCAAGGGTGATTTAAGAGCCTACACGAAGCTAAGAGTCGCCGGAGTTATCGCCGGAGTTCGTCAAAGTTCGCCGGAGTTTGGCCGGAGTTCAACCGAGAAGGGTAGAACTTCATCACGCTCATTCGAGGTGAGTGGACGGCTTAATGTCTTATAACTCTTGGGTTAATTATGAGATTACCTAAGTAAATGTTATATGTGTTCATAATGATGTTTAAAAGATGCTTAAACATGTGATTATCCAAAGTGATTAGACTTATATGTATGACCCATTGATATCATAAATGAAGTATGATATGAAGATGTTTATAAAAACATATATGATGTTTTAAGGGATAAAAGGGGCATAAAATGCTTGGTTATAACTTAATACATGTTGGGATTAAGTTTGACGCAAATCGGGTTTGAAACGGCGAGTCAACGAGAATGTTGACTTGGTTACCCAGGGGGTAACCGGCGCCGGTTATAGGCAAAACCGGCGCCGGTTATGGATCGGCATGGCCGGTTTTATTAAATTAATTAATAACCGGCGCCGGTTATGTCAAAACCGGCGCCGGTTTGGCACTGTTTTGCCTATATGTTGATTTTAATGCATGAATTGCATGGATGATTATGCTTAGGCCTTAAGACTTGGTTTAGTCTTGATTATTGATTATGATATAGACCTTATCTAGGATGATATGTGGTAAATCATAAGTCGGGTGGAGTACCCAAGGATCGGGCGGTTATCCTCAAAACTCGGTTATAGGGTGGAGTACCCAAGGATCGGGCGTGTATCCTCAAAACTCGGTTATATAGGGTGGAGTACCCAAGGATCGGGCGTGTATCCTCAAAACTCAGTTATAGGGTGGAGTACCCAAGGATCGGGCGGTTATCCTCAAAACTCGGTTATAGGGTGGAGTACCCAAGGATCGGGCGTGTAGCCTCAAAACTCATAAAATATCATTTTGTAATTTAGGACCGGGCGGTGTCCTCATGTTAAGATGATTGAACCAGGAGGAGTTATATACACTCATAGGTATATGGGTGGGTTGGGGTTTAAGCCAAGGTTACCGGCTATATTATTTCCCAAATAAACAATGACCTACGGGTCGGGTATTTCCAAGTGTATATATAATGATATGTATTTCATAACTTGGGGGAAAGAACTATATGTATATGTATCACCCTATGTTTGGGTCTTATACTTGAAACGTTAGTTATTCTACATTTAGCCTGCTACTCGCTCGGTACTTGTACTGACCCCTTCGGGGGGCCCACCATTTCAGGTTGAAGCTCAAGCTTGCATTCTCACCTTGCTCGGTGAAGTAATCTAAAGGGAGACGTGGTTCGTGCTTCCTTTACTGTTTTAAACTATAAACTATGTTCATGGATAATTTGTAATAAGTACATTTGTTTTGGGCCTGCGAGTCCACGATTTGGCCATATGTGGCCCCTGATTGAATATTGAATATTTCTGCGATTCGTTCAACCCAAATATGTGATGTTGTTATGTATGTTTACTTACTGAGTATGGTATGAACAATGTTCATGGACGCCTTGTATGATTAAGTCACGTTGACTTGCGAGTGACGTCATTTAGTCATACGGCGGTTGTACACGCGCTTGGATGCGGTCCGGGGCGTGACACATAAAGCCGTAAAATCTTAGTAAAAAGAACATAAAACTGTAAAATTCAAATAAACTAGTCAAAGTAAACAACAAAATTATCATCCTCAGCTTTAATAAAGTTATTATTTTAATCAGTCTTACTGAAGTAAAGTACAATATTTTAATTAAACTGCGATCAAGTAAACTAAAACATTATTAAGGTAAATGATAAATTTTAATAATAACCATAAACTGTAAATATTGAACAAAGTGTAGCCTGGTACACAGTAGTATAAATATTAAAAAGTTTAAAACCAAAAATTTAAATAAATAAAAAATTAAAACACAATAACAAGTTAAAAACTAAAGTAAATCCGGTGGAGTGATTACTTGGAGAGAGCCGTTCCTGAAGTCTCTGTCTTGAGCTTTGAAAACACCAACACCACCCCTTTAGTCCAGTCGTGAATCTCGTAAGAACTAGCAAGAATCTCGTAAGAACTAGCAAGAGTGGAACAAATGACTTCAACAAAGATGCTTGACGAAAATCACATGGTAATTTTTAACAAAATATAAATAAATTTCAGGCCCAAGCTTAAAAATCATCGCCACTGCCTCTGCGTTATAGCGCCTCAGCAAAATGAAGGCCAAGCCGTAGCCTTTGGGAGAAAGGCATGGCAAAACCTACAGCTGCTACAAATTATCATATCTTAGGCAGCTGCTACAAATTATCATATCTTAGGCAACTGCTACAGATTCCAGAACTTACGGCTGTTACAAATTTTCATATCTTACTCCAGGGACATGACACCATCTGTATATAGGTTCATTGTGGACAGATTGACTATAAATAATTGAATCATTGGTACATAGTACACTGGCCTGTGAGCTATTATATATTTTCTTATAAAGGCCTTCATTTTTCTTATAATTTTTTGCTTTGTTGTTTGCATTTGAGACAAAACAGAGCAATGATATATATCCAGAATATCGTTTGGATATTCTCCATGGATATTCTCAAGAATAACTGGAATTTTCAAAAGCATAGCATATTGAATATGTTGGCTTTTTAAAGGAAAAGTGTTAGTGACATCCACACACGCACAGAGGCTTCAATGAAACAAAGAAATAGAAAATTCCTTCAAGATTATGACTACCACACATGCACAGAGGCAATGTCCAGAAAAATTGATAGATGAGTCCAAACAAAAGGTCTTGAAACCAAGAAATTCAGTTGTACATGGTTAAAGAATTGCGGAGAAACCAGGAAAAAATCACATACAAAGTTAGAGCGAAATGCCTCAATTGCATTGTATGGAATGGTGGAGCAATTCCCAGAGATCACCTCCTTCAATTGCTGTACGTGAGGGTTTCACCGTATCGGTGACACAGCTATGCTAATCGGCGTTAGTCCATTAATCGGGCCAGAGTGTTCGTGGAGAATGAAATAGGAAGGTCCACTGGGTTTATTTGGTGTCTTTCGATGGTAAGGAAGATCGGGTCCAGGGGCGTTGGGGAAATCTAGGGTTTGTGCGTAGATGGTAAGGAAAGGTAGAGAAGGGTTATTTTGATGAAGTACATAAGTGAGTGGGTAGAGAGTGGAGGGGGAAACGAAATATTATGGAGGGAAATAAGATATGGCGGCGGGAAATAATTATGTAGTGTCAAAATTATTCATGATATCATATAGTCACCAAATAGTGACACATGTTTGTTAAATGGAATTTTTGGTGTGGATTAGTGACACTTATTTCAGATGTGTCACAAATTAAGTGTCACAATAAGGCAGATTTCTAGTAGTGGTGGGTGGGTGGTCAAATGTTGTCAAAATAGGTGGATTATGTATGAATTTGGTCCAGTTAAAACCTATTTGTTCAATTTGAGATTCGTGAATGACCTTAGTGTATTTTTTGACCCTTCTCCCAAGGAATTTGGGGGACAAAAAATGCTCGCAGAGGTGAGGAATAGAGATTGACTGAACCTTTTTTACCGCAAAGAGGAGGAATTTATTGGACGCGGTTAAAGTGAAAACTTTATATAAGTAGGACGGTAGGAGTTATAGGCATTGGGATCAAATTTTCAACATCACTTGCATTCGAAGTATTCTTCAGCAAAATCATATTATTGTTAACCATATCCATGATAAGGTTAAGTTTGCGGCCAAAGAAACAAGCTTTGGTGTTGATGTCAAATCCTCTCGCTTTCTTAACATTCTCAAATTTGATGCAATTGCATTTCCATATGTTATTTAACTCTCTTTGGGTAGGTTTAGGCGTAGTCCCTACTTTGTATGTTAACTCTTATAATAAAAAGGTAAGATGTTCCCCAACTCTTACCCCATCAAAAATGGTTTACCACTGGGTTAAAAAAAAAAGGAGTTATAGGCATAACCACTCCTTGATCCCCTCCATGGCTTCAGAGTCATGCTCCTTGATGTGGTTCCGGAAAGGCCTGCGTATTCACGACAACCCGGCTCTCCTCCACGCAGCCGAAGGCGCGACCAAATGCTTCCCAGTATTTGTGATTGACCCGCATTATATGGAGCCAGATCCGACCGCTTTCTCGTACGGGTCCTCTAGGGCCGGGTTGAATAGGATCCGTTTCTTGTTAGAGAGCCTCACTGATCTTGACTCGAGCCTTAAGAAGCTAGGCTCGCGTCTGTTAATCCTCAGAGGAGAGCCCAGCGAAGTCTTGATTCGCTGTTTGAGGGAGGTTAGTTAATCTATTTTAATAATTACCCCGTCCTCCACAAATCACAGTCCCTAATTTTCTTTTTGATGTTCCAAATTGATCCTCCCCAAACGCAGGGAGTTGTTATTATGCTTTTCGATATTCTATACAGAATATAATTATCTAACATTGTTTATTCACTCTAAGCAATGATAGTTCATGGCTCTAAAAACGTGGTTCAAAACCTAGTAAAAGCCATTTGATTATAGTATCGTAATGTTACAGGAGCTAAACACTACTGTAATTATGTTTATCATATATGAAAGTGAATATGCAAGTGTTTTGAGGAAGGAAGGAATAGAACCAAGTATGATGAAGTTAGGAGCTGAGCCCAACTAAAATATTGCAAGAGAATCTTATTCATATCTGAATTACATTGGCTTTGTTTATTTATAGACAATCATCCGTAACAAACTACTCTAACTGTGAATGGTATTTGCTATTTTGTTACAACTTCTAAAAATAGAAGTTTCCAGATTAGACTCCCCCTTTTTAAAAAGCTTGTCCTCAAGCTGAGAAACTTGGAAACCTTCTAGCAAACACCTCTGAATCTTTCCAAGTAGCATCTTCAATACCCTGCCCTTTCCACTGTACTAAAAACTCCACCGTTGCACGATTATGGAACTTGACCATTCTTCTGCTCAATATTGCATTTGGGGTCAATTTTTCTCCACCCATTCTATTATGAAACCAGGATGGAATGTGTGTTACTACTGGAAGAACCCATGAAAGGCTTTTAATTGAGATACATGAAAAACATCATGTATTTGTGATGTTTCTGGAAGCTTCAGTTTATATGCAGCCTTGCCAATGATTGCCACTACTTAAAAAGGACCAAAATACTTATCCAGTAATGAAGTCCATACTCATTCTATTAGATAACCATAACTGTTGAGAAAGGTGTGGAATTTTTTGTTCGAGGAGCCATTTCAAACTCTTTTGATCTATTTGAACAATGAAATGTTGACCTGTCAAATACTGCTCCCACTTTTGTGCAGCAAACACAATAGCTAATAGTTCTTTCTCACATATAGAAAGTTTTTGCCACCTAGGACCCAAAGATCTGCTAATAAAGGCTAGAGGATGTTTATCCTTCATGAGTACAGCTCCAATACCATTTTGAGAAGCATCAGTTTCCACTATAAATGCTTAGAAAAATCTGGTATTGCCAGAACAGGGTTAGTAACCAAAGCCTCCTTTGATGCTACAAATGCTATTTGTGCCTCATCACTCCATTTAAATGCTCCCTTTTTCAACAGATTAGTCAAAGGTTTGCTAATGATTACATAGTCTCTTACAAACTTTCTGTAATAGCCAGCTAATTCTAGAAAACTTCTTAACTCCTTTACAGATTTAGGAACCAACCAATTGTTAATAGCAGAAATTTTCTAAGGATCTGTCTCTATACCCTTCCCTGAAATGAAATGCCCGAAGTATTCCACTCTATCTACTGCAAAAGACCACTTACTAGGCTTAATATACAAGCTATTCTTCTTCATCAACTGAAAGACCTCCTCCAAATGTTTCCAGTGGTCTTCTTTTGATTTTCTATAAATCAAAATGTCATCGAAGATACCAGTACACATTTCCTTAATAAAGGTTTAAAAACCTCATTCATCCAATTCTGAAAAGAAGCAGGTGCATTAGAAAGCCCAAAGGCATTACAAGAAACTCATAATGACCTGAATGTGTTTTGAAAGCAGTTTTATAAACGTCAGCAGCATGCACTCTTATCTGAGAAAACAGTTGCACCAACAATTTCATCTATAAGCTCATAAATGACTGGAATGGGAACCATGTCCTTGATAGGCTTCTTATTTAATTCCCTATAGTCTGTACACATTCTCCAAGTCCCATCTATTTTACCAACCAAAACCACATGTGATGCACTGATGCATACTTAGTTTAAAAAAGTGCGCCTGAAGCGCGAAAATGTGCTAGGCGCCCTAAGGCGAGCACTCTATCACATCTTACACCCCCAGGCGGCGTAGGTTCCAAGAGGGGCGCATTATACGGCGCTTTTTGATGCCTTTTGCGAATCTGAGAGGCGCACTCTTCTCACGCCTTAGGGATGTGTCTTTTGGCGATTCAATCTTTCTAGTCTTCTCCCTTCTTTCTGCGTTTGTTTTGCTTCTGAGTTCCGACATCTGCGGTAGCTGTTTCTTGCTCGCATAGCAGGGCTCGCAAGTCCTGTTTTCCACTGCTGTCTTGCGTCACAGGACTTGCAGAGTAGTCGCAGGTAAGTATTTACTTCTTTTCTAATGCGTGTGATAGTTTATTAATTGAAGTACTCCGTATGTCTTATTTATACTCATATTTTATTACCTTGAAATTGCAGAGTTACTACCTCTGTGGGTTTGTTCTAGATCAAGCTGAGTAGGATACCTAAATATTGTTTTTGTTTAACAAATACATACGTAGTAGTATATAAGACAGGTTTTTTCCATATAACAGTTTGTTAATTATGTTTTGAAGTTTTAAGATTGAGTTTTGTGACATGACTTTTGGGAATGATGCCGTTTAATTTTTATTTCATGCAACTGTCTTAATAAATATTTGGTTTCTCTTATGATGTTTATTTAGAGTGTTTAATAGTTTGAAGTATTTTTTGTGATGCTATCACTTTTTGAGATGAGTGCTTTATGTAGAAGACTAGAATTAGTATATACGATAGTATATTCTACCAAATATATAATGTTAAGATCCGTGAGGCGCGCGCCTCATCGCCTTGCGCCTCGCGCCTCGGGTAAATCTTGAAAACGCCTCATGCCGCCTCGCGCCTTTTAAAACAAAGGATGCATAGGGACTTCAACTATTCTGAATAATTCCTCTATCAAACATTTCTTGTACTAGCTGTTCTATAATATCCCTTTGTTTAATAGAATATATATATGGTCTGATATTCACTGGTGCAACCCCTTGTTCAAGTGGAATTTGTGATCAAACACTCCTGTACAAGGTGGTAAATCTTGTTGGTTCTTCAAAAACAGGCTTATGATCTTCCAGAATCTTGACCAATTCATCAGGTTTATCATCCTCTATATCATTAGCATTGCTTATATAGCACCATCATCAACAAATTCAGAATTTCTCAACCATATTAAACAAAGTTGTGTAGTATCTTGAAAGAACTTTTCTGAAGGTTCACTTTGAACCGACAACTTATGACTAGATATGCCCTTAGGAACAAAATCAACTCCTTTTAAGGTAAATTCATCAACAAGTTCTTAAAATCCCATGAGACAGTTCCAAGTGTAGATAGCCATTGCATACCTAGCACCATATCACAGCTCCCAAGAGGAATGATGAGCATATCATCATCATCATTACCCCACTGCCGCAAAGGCTCCCACCTACGGTGAGGTAGGGGGGTCAGATGTACGCAGTCTTACCCGTGTACTAAAGCACAAAGAAACTGTTTCCGGATGACCCATAGGCTGAGTCCAAAATTGCATGGACTGACTGCTGCTTCATAACAAAGAAGCGCAGACAGTTTAGTGAGCCATTTTGCTTTATTCCATCATATTCTCAAGCCAACAAATAGTGAATCTTTGGCTTCATTTCAAATGATGGAAAGGAATGATGAACATATCACATATAAATTCAATTCCTTGCGAAGTCCAACAGAACTTTTTGCAGATATATTGGCAAGCTATGTGATTGCCACAACTACTGTCATTGCTTGAGTTTGAATTTTCTCCAATTCACATCCCAGCTTCTTTGCCATATTTATGTTCAAAAAAATTATGTGTACTCCCATAATGAACTAATATGTGCAAATTCTTCCTTCCTACTCCACCCAGAATCCTTATAGTGCTGAAGTTTTGGTTGCCACTAAGAGCATTAAAAGATATATATATGGATCTCCTAACTGAAATTCTGTGTAATTGTCTGCAGAATTCATTTCTTGCATTTGGGAGTCATATTCCTTCAATTCTTTCACTTCATTTTCTTCTGAACCAGTCACTTCCACTGAGAAAAGTTGAGATCCTTTAGTTTTACAGTTATGGCCAACCTCATATTTCTCATTGAGGTAGTAACACAGTCCTCTAGCCCTCTTATCAGCCCTCTCAGCAGTTGACAAATATTTAGGATTCTTGTTGAAAGGTTGTGAAATCAGTGAAGTCGTTTTAGGGTTATGAGGCAGAAATATCACTTCCTTCGTATGTGCTGAAAGGGTTTTATGCGGATTATTGTGAAATTGGTATTTTTTGCTGGTTTAATAGCATTGATAGCAAGATTTTCCTCTTGCAATATGGCAAGTTCTACAGCTTCAGTTAAATTGGTTGGTTGGAACTTGGAATGCTCTTACAAAGGGCATAATGTTAGCTTTCAACCCTCCAATAAAACTCTCTAAAAAATATTCATCAGAAAGATTATGATTTTGTTGTAGCAGCAGTGACTTCATGGTTTCAAACTTATCAAAATATACTTCAATTGAATCTTTCTAAGTTAATTTGTTGAACAGTTCGACTACATGATCCAACTTTTCATCTTTGAAACGTGCACAAACATCAATACAAAATTGACTCCAAGATACACCCTTCCCATTGGCCACATAACTGCTAACCCATGGTTCAGCTCTAACAGTTACATAGATGCATGCATAATCCAATCGTTGATTATCAGGCACCTTACAAAGATTAAAGTATTTCTCGCATTTTCTAATCCACATTCTTGTATTACTACCATCAAAGATAGGAAACTCTAGTTTTGGAACAAAGCCAAAAGGTCTAACAGACATATTATCACCAGACTTTCTAGTATCATTGGAGTTGATTGGTGAATTTTGATCAGTTATTAACTCCTTTTTTGGTAATCGTTTCTTGATTTCTTGCATAAATCCAATGATCTCCTGGATAGCAGAAAATTGTTGTTCCGACTGCTTCTAGTCATCCAGCCTTTTCTCAAGGTTACTAACACGATCTTTCATGTTTCCTTTTCTTGTTCTTGGTGCCAGACTGAATTCCTTTGATTGACCA